GATCTGTAGGTTATGTTACAGAATGAAATTTGCCAAAAACTTACTGGCCAGCAGGAAGACGGCTCATGCTGTTTAGTTAACCCTTCACAAAGTCGTCATAAAAACATTAATTAAAGCAGTGTTTCTTAACTAGCAATCTATTCAGTCAGCATATTTGTGTTTTGATCTGTGTGAATTACAAAAATATAAGACTTGTTAGACCTGCTTTTTTCTATATTTCTTTGCACAAAACTCTCCAGAAAGTGCAATTTAATGGTTTATTTTTCTTTTTTTTTTTTATCTACTTTTTTTCGTTCTCTTTTAAAGATAGGATGGGGGGCCCCATACTACCTTCGCCTTGGGCCCCCAATTAGCAAATCTGCCACTGGTCTCATTCCTATTTAACACCTATTTATCCTATTTAACATTTTCCCCTCCACAGACGCACGTCGGTAAACTAGGGAATGAACTTGCGCTCCCTGGGCGGATCGGCACAAAAAGGAGGCTTATTTCGGCGCAAACATTCCCTGGTGCTATTTTACACTTCCAGAAAACAATTGCGTCACTGACCAGAAAACACCTGGTCTAAAGTCAGTGGCGCGTTGTTCATAATGCTATTTTAAGCGCGCATGCTTGGCCATAATGTAGCGGGTGCACAGCGCGCTTTGATTCTCTCATCAACACAAATGCAGCAGTTTTTATTTTTGCAAATCATACATTATAACAAGGAAAAATATTAACACATGAGGGAAATCATTGTGCTTTACATGCAGATGAAAAAACCGAATTACCCATTTTTTAAGGCTAATTTTATTAAGGAAGGATCAGACCTGTTTGCCCAATAGTGGCAAGAAACATATGTATATAATGTTTAACCGATGCTGATGCGAGGGTTTCTCCCATCCCCATACACCGTCACCTCTCTGTCTTTCACTGTCTACAAGATCGTCGGTCTCCTCGGCTGTGAACGCTCCTGACGCGCGCCTGGTAAACCCGCCGTTATAATAACAATCCGTCATGCAACATGCGCATCTGCTCTTAAAGGGTATGTTGGATGGCGCTCTGATTGGTTTATTTCACGTTACGCTCAAACCACACCTATGAATAATGAACCTACTCCAGACCAACCCCTTTTAGATTTGTGCCAGGCACAAGAGATATCTGAGAGGAATTGGATTTATAAGACTGCTTATCTCAGGGGTACGAAACTGTCACAGTCTTCGTCTGCACCGTTCTGTCTGAGTCTCCAGCACTACACTTCCCATGATCCTCTCGTCTGCACACCTGAACTCACTCCCTCATCAGCCTCCCGTTCAGCGTCCTGTTCATCCGTATCACCTGTCTTCACCTCATTAACCCTGATTCCTCTGTGTATTTAGTTTCCTCTGTTTCATTCTGTCCTTGTCGGTCAATGTTGAATGTCGCCGTGTATTCCGTCTTCCTGCCTGTTTTTGAAATAAATGTCTCTCTACCGAGATTCTGTACCCGCCTGTTCTTCTGCCTGAACCCGCACCGTGACAGATTGACCGACCCAAACAGAAGTTTCAGCATGGGTATTCTCCTCACCCCAGCTCAAACGCTGTTCAACGTGTTCCAAGATGGACACCCTATTGAGGAGTACGTCACCAGTTTCCTGGAACTCTCTGCTGGGGTAAGCTGGTCAGATGATGTCTTAAAAACTGTCTTTTGGCTGGGTTTGGATAATCATCTGTACCAGCAAGCCCCAGCAGCTGCGTTTCCAGGAACCCTCTCCTGGTACCTGGACCATGTGTTGTGGTTGAGTGGGTCAGCCTTCACCGTTGGTGAGGCTGAAGATAACAGCACCACTCAACCACACACACACACCATCTTCACCCCACCAGCCCTCAACGCCTTCCTGGTTCCGTCCAGCCCCGTCCAGCCAGAGCCCGAGACCGTCCAGTCAGAGCCAGAGCCCGAGACCGTCCAGCCAGAGCCAGAGCCCGAGACCGTCCAGCCAGAGCCAGAGCCCGAGACCGTCCAGCCAGAGCCAGAGCCCGAGACCGTCCAGCCAGAGCCAGAGCCCGAGACCGTCCAGCCAGAGCCAGAGCCGAGACCGTCCAGCCAGAGCCAGAGCCCGAGACCGTCCCGCCAGAGCCAGAGCCCGAGACCGTCCAGCCAGAGCCAGAGCCCGAGACCGTCCAGCCAGAGCCAGAGCCCGAGACCGTCCAGCCAGAGCCAGAGCCCGAGACCGTCCAGCCAGAGCCAGAGCCCGAGACCGTCCAGCCAGAGCCAGAGCCCGAGACCGTCCAGCCAGAGCCCGAGACCGTCCAGCCAGAGCCCGAGACCGTCCAGCCAGAGCCCGAGACCGTCCAGCCAGAGCCCGAGACCGTCCAGCCAGAGCCCGAGACCGTCCAGCCAGAGCCCGAGACCGTTCAGCCAGAGGCCGAGACCAGGATCCCACCCAGCCTCCCTCTCCCGCCTCCTCTCATCTGTCCTCCCTCTGCTCTCCTGCCCTTCAGCTCCCCTGACCCAGCCTGGTCCGTGGATCCCCGGTCTTCGCTTCACACCTCCTCCATCTGGACACTTCCTCGGCCCCCGGTCCCATTGGCTCCCCCGTGGCTCCTACCTCCCTCAGCTCCTCCATGGTCCCACAGTCCACCAGCTCGGCCAGGCTCCCTCGTCCCTCCAGATTCCCTACGCTCCCTCGTCATCCTCCCTTCACCTTTGGACTTCCTTCCCTTGGCTCCGCCCCGTCATGTCACCCCCCGGTTCAGTTGGACTCCTCACTCCCTCCAGTCACCCGTCAGCCCTCACGCCCTCTGACCTCACCGTGTCCCTCTGTGCCCCTGTCATCACTTCTGTCACCTGAGCCTGCGGTGTCACCATGGTCCCTCGGTCCCTCCTCAGCACCACATGTCGTCAGTCACTCAGCTTCACCCTGGTCTCCCCTCCCATCCGCTCCGCCCCTGTCAGTCGGCCCCTGGTGTTGTCAGCCCCACTACCATCGGCTCCACCAGGGGTCCTCCCTCCAGCTGCTCCGCCCTTGTCTCGCCCTCATCATGCTCCGCCCTGGTCTCGCCTTCAGCCTGCTCCGCCCTGGTCTCACCCTCAGCCTGCTCCGCCCTGGTCTCGCCCTCAGCCTGCTCCGCCCTGGTCTCGCCCTCAGCCTGCTTCACCCTGGCCACGCCCTCAGCCTGCTCCGCCCTGGCCACGCCCTCAGCCTGCTCCGCCCTGGCCACGCCCTCAGCCTGCTCCGCCCTGGCAACGCCCTCAGCCTGCTCCGCCCTGGCCACGCCCTCAGCCTGCTCCGCCCTGGCCACGCCCCGCCCAGCCCCCAGTTCGTCCCCCCTCCTTCCTCTGTTATGCGGCGTGAGGTCACGCCTCCCGGGAGGGGGGAGTTCTGTCACAGTCTTCGTCTGCACCGTTCTGTCTGAGTCTCCAGCACTACACTTCCCATGATCCTCTCGTCTGCACACCTGAACTCACTCCCTCATCAGCCTCCCGTTCAGCGTCCTGTTCATCCGTATCACCTGTCTTCACCTCATTAACCCTGATTCCTCTGTGTATTTAGTTTCCTCTGTTTCATTCTGTCCTTGTCGGTCAATGTTGAATGTCGCCGTGTATTCCGTCTTCCTGCCTGTTTTTGAAATAAATGTCTCTCTACCGAGATTCTGTACCCGCCTGTTCTTCTGCCTGAACCCGCACCGTGACAGAAACCTTTTTTGACCAAATAGCCTTTTTTTTATTTATGGTTAATGCATTTTTCCAAAAGAGCCACAGTAAAATAATTATATAATATTATTATTAAAGACGTGCTTTTTTCAGTTAAATTTCAACAGCATTAGGCTAATTATTAGGTCCATAAAAACAAACAAATATTTAGCAAACAAACTTTCAATATTATTAATTGTGAAGGGCTTTCACAGTGAGGTTGAGTTATCAACTGATGAGTATAGTTCCCTCTGTCTGCGTGTGTGTGTGTGTGTGTGTGTGTGTGTGTGTGTGTGTGTGTGTGTGTGTGTGTGAGAGAGAGAGAGAGAGAGAGAGAGAGAGTACTTGGAGTACTTACAGTACTTACAATCTAATGTACTTACAATCTAGTAATTACATCTACTGTGTTTACGTGAATACTTTGATATATTTCTGTATTTATTTGTTCATTTAGCTGCGCAACCGAAAAGCTAATCAAATGATCAAACCCCTAATAACACCGTGTCCGAACTACACGTGACGCGATAAAATTCCAGCGACAGCAAGAGTGTCTGTCCACACTAGACGCGACTGTGAGACGCCACACGTCAATCAAAAATCACAGCCATTCAGAACAGCGAGTGGGCGGAGTCTCTCTGTGAAAGCGCACTGTTGGCCCGCACTCGCTTTGGAAATGGCTAAGGACATAATCAAATCAAGAAATAACATTATTAAAAATCAAAACATTAACAAAATATATTCATTGACTAAATTTGTTATAAAGTACAGTTGTATGTTTGCATATAATTCATTTTGAACGCTATATTATATGCTTTCAAAATCTGTCGCTTGTGGCACAGTGACCTATTTTTAACTAAAAATAAATAATGTGTACTCATAACCAGTGTAATTTCTTCATTCTGGAAAAGATACCTTTAATCGCGTGTCGCGGCGTGTGCAGTTAGGACACGGTGTAAGGCACTGTATTGTGTGTCGTAACGTAACGTCGGCATAACGGCGACCATAAGTAAATGTTATGGATACAAACAATATTTTATATTTTTTATTAAGTTGTTCTGGTCTTTACTAAAATCTAAATTAGATAATCAAAGGGAAGAGTCACGAGGGATCAGTTTGATCGATGATTTTGGCTAACGTAATAGACTCGCTGTTTTTGCTGATGCTGAATCGTCTCTAGCATACAATACATTCATCACAAATGTAACTAAATTAAACACGTGTTTAAACAACACCTGGGGAAACACGTATGTAACCGACTCGGCCTGTAACACATGTGTAGCTGTTCCATAACTTAGTTACATGTTAATTACATTTTTTAACATGTTCTTACAATGTTTAATACTAAGTAATTAATAAGTAATTACTCTGTATCACGGACACAGAAAAGCATATATTACATTTACCTTTAAAGTCTTTATAAAGTTTGCTAGACATTGATATTGTGTAGTGTGTGATCCTCCATCAGCAGCTGCAGTTTCTCTCAGCTGTATCAGTGCAGTCACTGTGACGTCTGACTGACAGAGGTTTTTGTACGACTCTTTATCACTGTGTGAACACCCATTTACCACTGATATAGTGTGCACTCTGACAGTAATAATCTCCTGTATCTTCAGTCTGGACTCCACTGATGCTCAGAGTAAAATCACTGCCAGATCCACTGCCACTGAATCTAGATGGAGTTCCAGAATAAAGGGTTGATGCATAATATATCAGGAGTTTAGGAGCTTCTCCAGGTTTCTGTGAGTACCAGGCTAAGAAATTATTATTAAACACATTACTGCTGGTTTTACAGTTTATTCTGACTTGTTCTCCTGGTTGAACTGCTGATATTGATGGACTCTGAGTTACAGTGATCTGTCCTCTACACTCTGGAAGAAAACACACACAAAAATGAAAATTATATATGATTATATACAGTATATGATAAATAGATATTTAGATTTTAAGAGAATTTATAATTGTTGTAAAAACTGTATTACACAAACCTTGAATAAACAGTGCAATGGTCCAGATGAAGATGCAGATGTTGTTCATAGTTGTAGTTTAGTCTTGTGTGATGATGAAGAGTGTGTGTGTTCTGCTCTCAGTCATGAAGTGTTAAACTCACAGCACTATAAACACTCTCAGAGCACTGAAGCATGTGCTGACAATGCAAAGAAGTGGGCAGGATTTACAACAGCTTGTGCTGACAACACACTCATATACACTAGAGTTACACAATCATGACTTTATTTAGTGTGTTTATTGTGACTCCTGAGACACTGAGGATGTGCAGATGAACGTCCATCTCTGTGTCCATATTCAGTCATGTGACCATCATCACTGCTACACTTCCACTAGATGAAGCGCCATCACTAAAGTAAGATCATGAATCATGAGTGTGTTCAGAAAGTATCAGGACTGATTGTGAATCTCTAATCAGAGTTCATGGTGTCACTCCATCTATCATGAAGCCTCATGTGTGTCTGAAATCATCAGATGGAGAAGAAACAGGCTGTTAAAGATGGACACATATTAGAGCTTGTTCACGTTTCATGAGATTCAGAACCAGTCCAGATACTTTTATAACACACCTTGAATATGAAAACATGCAAAACACAACTTTGAGATCTTCATTGTCACACTTTCTATTGACTTTGGCTCTAATATTCAATAAAGTCATTATTTGAACAGATTCTCACTGAAGATTGAAGTGTGAAGCTGCAGGTTTTTCTGTCAATCATGATGATTGATCTGCATATGAAGAACAGAAGCATCATTATGAGAAACTCATCATCCATGATCAAAGAGGTCAAAGGTCACCTCAGAGGTCACAGCTCATCACATATATTTCTTTAAACAGTGTTATATCAGAAAGCATTTAGTCAAATCTGAATGAGTGAGTGTTGAGAAGAGCTGAGGATCTTCTAATATCAGTGTGTTGAAGTGTTGTTTCTCTCTCTCTGCTGGAGTGTGTGTTCACTCGAGTGGAATAGAGGTTTTTGTACGAGTGTTTCATTAGATTGGATCACTGTGGTACACATTCGGTGGAGGAACTAAACTGGTGGTCAGATGTAAGTCTTTTTAATTACATATTTAAATAATAAATACAATTTAGATTTCAGAAAGTGTTTTACAGTTGAAACAAGAACAACATTTATTAATAATAAATGGTTATTTTGATGATTAGATGTTGTGGTAAAACTTTACTTCAAGCTTTAATGTACGATACATTATAAAGGTGTTCATAATGTATGTTATAATGCAGTATATATTTTCTCAAATAATTGCAACCACATTTAAAATGTATTATAATACTTAAAATTCCTTGTTTCATCTGAAATTGGTTGTTTGTCATGAGTGTGAAAATGAATAGATAATATTATAATGTGTTAAAGCCTTGGTTACAATTATTGATGAGATCATACATGCATTATAATGATTAAAACAATACATAATTAATAGATTAAAAATACCTTTATAATGCAATATGTATAAAGGCTTTAAATTGTTACTGATATTTTTGTATAATTATTTAATCTAAAAAAATGTTCAATACAATTCTAAGCATATCTCTATACTGCGTCTCACTATGAGTTTATTCAGTTTATTACAGGTTTGTTTTTCCTTCATTTATTTCTACACTGAGTTCATATTTAGTTGATCTTTTATTGTAGAAATCATACATGTAAAAAGAGATTTGACATCAGAATGTAAATGTTGCTCCTTTCTGTAGTTCAGTCAATGATACTGAATCTCTTTTGCTCATGTTGTGCTTATAATTCAGTGCTTTATAATACAAACACAGACGTTGTTTTCTAGTTCTTATAAGTTATATACATTTCTTTTTATGTGAGCTTGAGTCAAACTTTTACATTGAGTTTTTTATTTGTTGAATATCTCACTTGAGTACAAACTAACTTTTGGGATATCCAATTAAACTGAATTAAAGCAGTCTGTGTATTACGATGTTTAGTTTGATTGATGCGGTGTGTGTGTGTGTGTGTGTGTGTGTGTCTCCTGCAGCTGGTCCCACAGTGAAGCCCTCAGTGTCTCTGCTGCCGCCCTCTTCTCTGCAGATCTCTGGAGACTCAGCCGCACTGCTCTGCCTGCTCAGCTCTTACTCTCCACAGGGGGCGCTGGTGAGCTGGACACTGGACGGGTCAGAGGTCACCGAGGGGGTTCTGACCAGCGCAGAGAGCCAGCAGGACGGCCGCTACAGCCGCAGTAGCGTCCTGACCCTCAGCAAAGCACGCTGGGAAGAGGGAGAGCTGTACGTCTGCAGAGTAACACATGATGGAGCTCCTCATGAGGTCTCGTTCCACAAGAGCTCTGAGTGCTGATGTTTCTCTCCTGAAGATGAGCCGTATCTGAGTGTCCTGTGTCAGGCAGGATTCACATGAGTCTAGTGCTGCAGCTGGAGTGCTTTACAACTCAATACTCAAACAGTGTGTGTGTGTGTGTGTGTGTGTGTGTGTGTTTGCTGCAACATTCAATAAAGCTTCTCAACAAGTTCACTTTGTGTCTGACAACATCATTCAACTAACAGATGAAGATGCAGGAGCTTTTCAGAAGGTTGATGTGGCAGTAAATGTCAAATAAAGCTCTTGGGGTTTGAACATGGTCTCTGGAGACAGAGCTGCTCTATTCTGAGAGATCACAATCACTCCACCCTGACAATGCAAATGGGCTTTCAGTCTCACTCTCTGATTGGTCACATCATCTGGACTGGAACACTTTCACTTCTGCTGCACATTTACATATAAAGAAGGTTGTGATACTTAAAATATAAAAAATAATAAAAATCATTGAGAAACCATGATCACAACTCAAGAATCAGCCGTTGTGACAGTATTTGTGTAATAATGTGAACATTTCTAATAAATATGGAGTTCAGTCATGAAACTCTAGATCAGGTTCTCCAGCTGGACACATTTTGGACGTCTCTCTAATCTGACAAACATTTCAGGTGTTGCAGTCTCTCTATATTCAAATGTCAGAAGTGAAAATATATGTAGGCTACTAAATATTGATTAGATTAATTATATAAAATAGTCTAAAATGGTTGGATTTTCTGAGAGGAAAAGTAATTATTAAGGCGTATAATTCTTTGACGTGTTGACTCCAAGATGTCTTTGATAACATTATGATAGCATTGAGGAAGAAGTCATCTTTTTTGTAAAGGTGTAATTCACTATGAATACCACAATGAAATGTTAATAAAAATATCAGTAAATATATTTGTCAAATATACAAAAATTATTTTAAATGACTATGGTATTTTTAATTATTATTTTTCTTCTAAGGTGTAAGCCTATGTGTAGCTCATTGTAGCTATGCTTTAAATATTGTAGCCGAAGTCTAGTAAATTTGTGTAGCCTGTAATGTGTAATAAACACAGCAATAAAATAACTCAGCACGAGATTACAGTTGCAAAAACAGAACAGTTTATTGAAAATAAGCAACAAAACAAAGAAAGTAACAATAATAATGTCAATAAAACGCAAATAAATGAAATTTAAACATAAAGAACAGAAAATTATTGAGAAATAGGCTATTAAAAATACAACAACAAAAAAGGCTGTTTATAGGCTATATGCAATGCAAATATTTTAATTTAATTTTAGTTTTAACATGAACATTATTTGTTTAGGTCGAAATAGAAAGTTTAACATTAACATTTATTGAAATTATTTTTGAACAATTGAAGTTTTCTAATTAAAATGAACATTTCTTTGTTTAATATAGAGTAATTAAGAAGCAGGCTTTGGAATACCTTCTGGCATTTGTGCTGCGACTGCGGGCGGTTGTGGAGAGGATTTCATGGACTTTCAGCGACAATTTCCATTACAACGACATTGTCGTTTTGAATGTTCACTTTTAATAAGGAAGTCCTCCTCCATGTCCTGTCCATCCTCTAAAAGTTTAGAAAAGAGTGATGTGTGCTGTGGCAGTGGCTTTGTACATGGATGTTTTTTGCAGCATGTTGCATTTTTGGCAACGGTGAAATTTGTTTTTGGGGAAAAACTCCGAATGCCAAAATGTGCAATTCCCGCAGTTGCGGGACACAGCGACCTCGGCCGGTTAATGACGCCGGACACAGCTGTTACTGGTTGCTCTTTTTCTTTGTGAGGAATTATGTCACCCAGCCCAGGCCATGATGGGATTTCGGTTTCTTTCGTTGTTGTAATAAACAGTTCTCCATCGAATTCCCTTGTGGTCAACGAGGTGAACTGGTCGCATTTTCCGTAGCAAATCAGTCCGATTTGAGCATCCCAGAGCTGTAGCTTTATCCTGCCGGTGAGGTCCTGTCTGCCTTGAAACTGGACGTTTGTGGTTCCCACGGTCAGGTGCGCGACCCTTGCACTGAGTACACCAACCTGACAAAATAGAAAAAGAAAATGAATTAATTAAAATAGAAGATCAAATACCGCATCTATTAGGTATAATTTAAAATAATATAATTTATTTAAGAACTTACATGTTGCTTTTGGGACATTTTTTAACCTCCTCCACGGCCCGTTTAGATATCTTTGGAGGGTCTCTGTAGGCAAACTGCAGGTCGTTGACCACCGTCAGGTGTGTTCTTCTGCATATTATGTCCAAGCACCTGAACGACCTAAAAGGAAGACATAATGAAATTAGACATAAATATAGACTTCTGTTTGTAGGAAAACAAAACAATTGTCACAGGTCGGGGCGGGCCGACCTGACCTGCAGCCACCCCTCGAGACCCGCACCACCCTTGGGGAGCCTGATGGAGGACGGAGCAAGGAGAACAGACAAGAGGAGAAACAGTTAAAACCAGGTTTTTATTTATAAAGATAAAATGTCTAAAAGAATGCAGGTTCAGGGCAGCTCTTTTGTCCACTTCTCCGGTAGTCTCTCAGGGGGAATTTAAAGCACTTGTCCATTTCGGTTGCAGGCTGGAGGTTTCACTGCGAAGCAGAGAGGTGAGTATACAGGCACGTCATCCTCTTCACTGCAGGGCCTACAGACACAGAGCTTACAGCAGAGGAACTTCACTTCAAAGTAGACAGGTGAATATATGGGCACGTAATCCTCTGGCATACATACACACCATCCTCGTCTTAGCACATAATCCTCTTCGTCTTCCTGGACAGACTGAGAACTTACGGCTGGAGGTCTCCACTGCGAAGCAGTTGGGTGTGAGTATACAGGCGCGTCATCCTCTTCACTGCAGGGCCGACAGACACAGAGCTTACAGCAGAGGAACTTCACTGCAAAGCAGACAGGTGAGTATACAGGCACGTCATCATCTGGCATACGAACACACATTCCTCGTCTTGACACATAATCCTCTTCTTCTCCCTGGACAGACAGAGAACT